ATTATAATAAAAAAATTAAATAAATTACATAAAAAATGAGAAATTTTAAATAGTTGATTTGATATTAACATTGACATGTTTTTTTCAAAATTTTATGATATCTTTAAATTTATATTTTATTCAAAAATAAAATGATTATTGATTTCTTAAAAACACATAAAATTGTATTATAACATCGACATAGACAAAGAATAAAATAGAACAATTAAAATCGAGATGTATCTCGCTGCATTGCGTGAGTACCCTTCTAGTAAGACATTTGACAAAAACTCAATTCTTTGTAGATACAGTATTGATCTTGTGTGTGGTTTTGGCAACGTTTGATATAAGACATGGATTCCGCCGCCATGACATTTTTGCAGTAGTAAACCAATCTCTTCTCCTGTTGTATGTTTAGCCATTCACTTCTTTCTAACCATCTATTTCAATTGCTATATGTATGTGAAATTGTATTATAGTTTGTATGCTTTTGTATATTGGATGTCAATAGAAGTGTAGAACAGTATGCGTAGTTTTATGTAAATTTCTTGTTTGTTTTAAATCAATAAGGCTAATGGTTGATGAAAGCGTTTTGTGGTAGTCGATTGATAAACCTCTTGCTTGGGTTGTGATTAATTCCTTTTTCTAGATGTTATTGGAATTATTTTGGCTGGTTAGACATCTGTATTAATGTTTTTCTGGTTCAACAAATTTTAAAAGATGTCAAAGAACCACAAGGGTGGTGCCTGATTGGTTTGAGCTTGGCTCCAAAGGTCAAAAGTACCATGAGGTCTCAGGTTCAAATCCAAGGAGGAAAAAAAATCCCCTTGTGGCCACGTAGGTTCAAATGCGATGACTCCGGGCTATCTGCAAAGCAGATGATCGCCCTGGGATTAGTCGGCTCGCATAGCGGGTTGGATATCCAGGTTAATCAAAAAAAAATATGTCAAAGAAACTGTTTTGGTTAAAGATGTAGGTTGAAATTTCCAGCTCATTTCACCATTTGTAGTTATCTTTTGATAAATCTTATGCCTCTTCATGATCATCGAGCTTTAAGGTTCTATCTATTTATGCCTCTTCATGATCATCGAGCTTCTCATGGAAACCGCTCAACCCGTGAGGATTGATGAAAAAGAGGTGGTAGTGGTGAACGTCATGGAGCCAGAGAGGAAGTAACGCAGAACAGAGAATGCTCCTCCTCCAATGGCCATACCACTAGCCACCAAAGTTACAGTCGTTGTGCCACCACCACACCGCCAGACATACAGAGCTAAGGTCCCCGTTCGAGGGATCAAAATATTTACGCCTGCTCTAAGGCAGGAGGGTCCAGTCAGAGCTAGCCAGCAAGGAGCAAACAACAGTAGACCTCGGAGCTCCAAACCATCCTCTGATCGAGTACAAGAGATCAAGGACCAAATGGATGCGATGATGACACCTATACCACGGAGAAGCCAATCAAACACACTGCCGGTAATGAAGACTTGTTTCAATATCTCTACAGCCATAGGAATGAGGTGCCTACTCAGAAGATCAACCTTCATCCAATGGCTCGAGAAAATATAAGGCAGAGGTTCATCCGTCAATTCACTCAGCCAATCTCTGCAGTTCACTCCGTGGATGACATCAAGCAGATTTTGGATATTAGAAAGAGGACCTTTGCCCACAATCAAATAGTCTTCCATGAGTACATGGTAGAAAGATCCCATGGGCAGATCTGCACCTTCACGGATTGTGACCTTATAAATCTTAATCCCCGGGATCTGCTGTCTCTGTACTTCTTCATGGATCACAAGAAGGACAAGGGTATGAAATATGCTCTAGCTAACTCCGCGATACGACAAACAATGACGGACCTTCTTGACTACCGGAGTAAGCTCGACTTCCAGATTGCTCTAGATCTAGGGATAGACCAGCTTAGTGTCACTGCGCCTAACGAAGACTTTGAAGGAATTAAGCATATCCCCTCTTGGACAGTGTTGGTGGAGCCATAACACGGGGTGATCTTCAGGAATGAACAAGGCAGAAAAATGTTCTTCCGTGAAGATCAGTGCTTTAAGTACTCTAATTCAACTTTCCGGTACATCAAGAACAATCTTTTAACAAGCAAAGATACGACCCCGGGCGCAAACGAGAGGACGAGCAACCTAGTCAGATCTATAGATAATGTATTATAGTTTTTTTTATTAACCTGGATATCCAACCCGCTATGTGAGCCGACTAATCCTAGAGTGACCACCTGCTTTACAGATAGCCTAGAGTCACTGCATTTGAACCTCCGTGGCCACAAGGGGATTTTTATTCTTCCTTGGATTTGAACCTGAGACCTCCTGGTACTTTTGACCTTTGGAGTCAAGCTCAAACCAATCAGGCACCACCCTTGTGGTTATGTATTAGTGTTTTGTGAGCTTCTTAGGAGGTTCATGAAGCTTCAACATATCTAGGCCTCTACCTTTGTAAGTTATAACTATCTTTTGTTTTCAAAGGTCAAAAGTACCAGGAGGTCCCAAGTTCAAATCCAAGGAGGAATAAAAATCCCCTTGTGGCCACGGAGGTTCAAATGCGGTGACTCCGAGCTATTTGCAAAGCAGGTGGTCGCCCTGAGATTAATCAGCTCGCATAGCGGGTTGGATATCCAGGTTAATCAAAAAAAAAGATGTCAAAGAAACTGCTTTGGTTAAAGATGTAGGTTGAAATTTCCAGCTCATTTCACCATTTGTAGTTTTGATAAATCTTATAGGAAATTACTTTATCTACTATGTGTGGAAATAGCTATAGACACACATTTTGAGCAACAACCATTTACTTGGCTATATTTGATAATTTGTGTGGATATTGATATAGTGATGAAATAATTTTTTTTATTTATCTATTAAATTATAAGTATTATATAATGATAAAATTAATAATAATAGTTATTTGATGTGGTTGCGGCAGTGGTGGCGTCGGCAATGATAGTGGTGATGGAGATAGCAGCGATGTATGTGATGTGGTGGGGATGGCCGTGGCGGCGACATCGGTGGTGACAATGGTGTGGTTGTGATGTAGCGTATGAAATTAAACCAAAGTCTAATTCTCGTTGATTCTATGAATATTAGGAATAATCTCTACTAAAGTTTGTTGATTCAAAGAATGGCGAACTTTAGGCTTCAAATTCGAATTTTCTGGTAAACTGAAAATTCGGATGAAAAATGGATATTTCTGTATTTATCAAATGATCATTCTTAAGTCTAAAATGAAATGGGCTTGAAAAAGTTGATGGGCCATCCATGAAAACCTAAACATAAAATGGAAAAATAACAACAAAAAACACAAAAAAGCACCAAAGCATGTTCAAACAACATGGGTTTGGCCTAAAAAATCTAGTAGGCCCTTCGGGTCATACTTTGGGTGTGTTCTAGTTCAAAGCTTTGAATCAATGTATTATAGGCCTAAAATGGATAACCATAGTAAAAGTTATGCGCATTAAGCACTACACCCCTTTTAGTCGGTCTTGGACTTTAGGAACAATAAGACGTGGGCCTCCATGTCAAGACCCACATCAGGAGGGGTCGTTTACCATACACTTACCCGGTAAGTGCTTACTTGTAAAATTTAATACTATTATTTACGTACCTGGTGAGATTTTAGTCCACCAAAACGACATCCTATGCAATAATTTACCTGGTAAGCGTTTACCATGGTAAGAGTCGTCGCTCTCACTTACCACGTAAGATTCGTGGTCCTTGTCTCGCTCTTACCGGATAGGATTTTTAGTCCTTACCATATTCATCCGGTGATTTAACATGACTTGGTAAGCACTTAGGGGCAGTTCGGTTTGTTTTCTTTTAAGACTTGTATAGATATAGTTGTCTGTATATTAACAGATAAGTTGTTATTCGGTTGTTGTGCTGAATAAACAGTCTGAATGTCAAAAATGACCATTTTACCCCCGGTCTTTATTTTTGTGGATCAATTTTATTACATGAGATATCCATAACAAGAACAACAAGTAGATCAAATGAAGCATAAATTTAGAACATAAAGTTATTCGACTGTTGCACAATTTATAATTCAACAGTTCCTTATAGCAAATAGACAGTTGTACAATTTATAATTCAACAATCCATAAAGGGTTTGATTTTGATATCATAAAAC